GGTGCGTGGACGTCATAAAACAAAGGTAATTTAAGACGCAGTTTTAATCAGAAAAGAGAGAAAAATTATCTTATTAAATGTACTTTTATCTTTCTTGCTATTGTTAGTTATGGTCGAAATGAAAATATAATTTCTATATTGGATTTTGGATTTGTCTGACTGGTGAAGTCTGTCTCGAGCCTCACCCTACGTCACTTGGATTGACGGATGTCAGAAAAGAGTCCAACTCTTTATCATTTACGTGAGGGAATTTTGAGCACTGTTGTTGTCGGTGTCGAATTTCGGAGCTCTCAAAGTCAAACATCAACGTGAACGTCGCACTTCCATTAGAACTGGCATGGCCTAAAAATAAAACACATTGAAAATTTGCAAAATATTCTCAGAAGGCCAAGAGGGCTTCTGGTATAAGCTTGGATTTTTTTCATGCTTGGATTTTCGGAGAATAAAAATAGTGTTTGACCTATTCAATGCATTTTGTCCATAGGAATGATTTATCCAAAATTCTGAAATTCCTCAAAATTCACTAAGTTGTCCAAATATTATGACAATATTTCCAAATGACCAAATTTATGCTGGATTTTCTTTCATCCTGTTTCGTTTGAAAAAACAAACCAAATCACCCGGTTTCAAAGTTTCATCTTGTGTAATTCAAACAAAAAATAAAGCATAAAAATAAACCTTAACAAACTTAATTAGTAATCCTGATGTGTTTAACTGCCATGACTGACTTAGTTCAGTCATCTAAACTGAATGTATGTAGAAGATACATACTTTTGAAAAAATAAAAAAATAGTGGCGCATATCAAGATGCCAGAAAACTTAGTGAATTAGTTGAGATAATTTGGATAAATTGGATTTTTTAAATGTATTATTATTTGTGCAATTTTTCTAAAGTTTGGATGTCGGATGAAGCAATGTTCACACTTATGTCAATAAGTCTCATTCAACTATTACCGTATTAAATAAAAAAAAAATAATTGTGAATGATAACTTCTTTAATTTCTTTCTTAGCTTAAATGCAAGTTTTGCCAGGGTAAAAACTTGCAGGATGAACTTTGCCAAACCGCGATAAACTTACCTTTTGCTAATGCAAGTTGAAAAAATATCTAATGAAAAAATATTCAAGTATAAATGAAGTCTCAATAATTATCACTCAGCTGTTCATGTAATGACTGTCAGTAATTTTAAAAACGCAGCTATTCTCAATTCCTGTACGAGCTAGCTGTGTTGTAATCCTAACTAGCTATCTTGTGTGTGAACAGTAACATGTTGACATGTTACCGTTTAATTAGTTTATTTTTCAGCTTTTTTTTGTTAAACCTGCTGACTTGTTTGTTCCCACCTTCTTTTGCGAAAGAAAATATTACATTGCTATATCTCTCAATCACCACTAGTTGTGCTGCAGTGCCAAAAAATGTCAGAATTTAGTTCTAAAGAGTTTAGTTTCTGATCCATCAAACAAAAACCAACCCTCAGTGAAAATACACTTTTATTTAAAAAAAATGTATACTTTGTTTTAAAATACAAAAAAGGACTAAGTTCTAGTCTATCATGGAAGAAATGTAATTATTTTGGTCTTTTATCGATATGATTATTTAAAATTAGTACTCATTAAGGAAAAATTTTAGTTGAAAAATTAAGCCTTGAAATCTGACATTTACCCTGATCAAGAAGCCATCTACTTAGAAACCAACAAAAAGTTACAATTATTTATTTATGTGTTGGTGTGCGATCAAAATGACCAATTTGATGAAACAAAATAGTGTAAAAAGTATTTACTTCCTGTTTTGATTGTAAGAGCACAATCTAGTGGTGGTTTCATGCCGTCTTGTCGTAAACTGGAAAAATAGCGACAAGGTTTCATCCTCTAAAAGAGGTGGACATTTCAAAATAAAAGCATACTTGCAGAACAGAATATATACTTTTTTTTTTTTTTTTTTAGATCATGTTTTTGTGGTCATTCAGCCCCAAAATGAAAGCCGAATGATAAATCTGATTCGCTGCACATCGCCACTTTGGATGCGAAATGCTCTGATAATTTATCAATGTTCCGCTGGTAATAAGTGAGAAATGTGTCTGCGAGTTTCTGTCGCAGCAGCGGCGTCTCCAGCCGTGAAAGGTCCACTACACGCCACTCCAGCTCCTCCGACTGAGACGAGTGTGACAAACAGCTCAACAGGCTTTGGCACACCAGCTGTCCAGAGGGGACACACACACACACAGGGGCAGAAAATTCACACAGGGGTCCATTGACATGCACGTCTCAGCATACACACACACACACACACTCGCAACAAAACACACTTTGCTGCCAAGTGCAGTGTGGTAATCTTTAGTAATGCCATGGGTCCTGAGGGCAGAGCATGTGAACGCTGCCAGGGGCCACACAGCATCACAGTCCGCAGCGCTTTGCAGAAGGAAAACCGACTCCGTCTACCACTGATCTGGACCGTTCACATGACGGACCAAACGCAGTCCAGCCTGCAGACCCATCGGGTCTGATCTCAGCAGCACCGGTCCGGCTTTCTGCTGCCCGGCCGGCCAGCATCCGTTTGGATTTGGGTAAAACTGGGAATCCGTCTCTACGTCATCCAGATGTTGTCCAGATATTTGAGAGGTCACTCAGTGACAGAGTTGAGCAGTAACAAGTTACATTTACTCAATTACGTTTACTTGAGTAACTTTTTTTTAAAAGTACTTTTAGAAGTATTTTTACTGCACTTTTTTTACTTGAGTAATTTATTATGACATATTGCTAAATTTCTGGATTCTCCTGATGAAAACCAAACATGTTTTAACCAAATATTCACCAGACACACACACACTGGCAGTTTTTGTTAAAATTTCACAAGTTCTTTTATTGATTTGGAAAAATTCTCTTTTGCCTCATTTTATAAATTTTTTTTTGCTACTTATATAAATTATTGTCATTTTGGTCCTAATAATGCCCAAAAATTTCCATTTGACTTTATATTTTGATTCGTCTGATGACATACTTTTTAAATATTAAATGATTGATAATTTCATCAGTTACTTATTTTTTTTACTCTTACTTAATTTCTCACATGACTACTCTTTACTTTTCCTTGAGTAAAAATATGTTGAACAATGCTTCTCTCACTTTCGTGTAGTTCTTGGGTCCTCCGCCCGTCTCTGCTCAGTGACACCAGACCCGGTTAGCTTCAGCTGCTCCTGACCTTCCTACTCCTCTTCCTCGTTTTGCTCTCCTTCCTCTGGAGGAGGAAGAGGCGGAGGAAGAGGGGAGCTGTCAGGAAGGAGTAAACGTGTGCAGCTTAGGGAGGCGTGGATATGATGAGGCTTCAGTGTTGTCGAGATGGATTAGCTGAATGACTTTGAGGGGTTTGTTCTCTTGTCTTTGAGCGCACAGCCAGACTCGCCCTCCCCTCCTCTTCCTCCCCTCCAGATCTTCACGTCTCCCTCTCACTTTCTGTCCCCATCTTTGTTTGTTTGGATAGATTTTTATTTTTTTCCCCCCCCTCGGTTTCTGCCTCGGAGCGTCACGCAGGAACGTTAAAATGAACCAAATTGCTGCTGCAACAGAAGACGGCTGATTCTGTTCTCATCTGCCAGATTGTCGGTTTCATCGACAGTACAGTTATTTTTTTGCGTTTCTGACAAAAAAAAAAAATAAAAATCTGTTTTTGACATTTTCCTCCAAAGCAGCTAAATGTAATTGAAACTGTTGGACGTGGACTGAATTAATCCATTTTTAGAGTTTTGAATGTTATTATCTGTGGACATTGTCTCCTTTGTTCCATATTAAAATCTGTGTTGTAGAGCCTGGCCGTTATTAATGGATATGAAGCATAATAAAATGAATGAACATGTTATATACATGTGGCATTGGATCAGCAATAAGCCACTGATGAATCTCTTAAAAGCATAAAACTATTTTTTAGATCCAGCATGTGGATTTGGATAAATAAAATAAAATAGAATATAAATATATATTGCCATTATCAAGAATTTTGCTAGGGTCATAAAAGTATGATATAATAAAAGTAAAACATAGACAATTGTACTGTTGAAGCAAATTTACAAAAAAAACAAAAAACAAATACATAGTTATTAGAGATAACATCCCAGTTATTATTTATCAGGTTAAGACTTTAATGTATTAAGCGAAGTTCTAAGCTAATTAAGATTAGCTTTAGTGTAAATTACAACCAATTGGTCTGTGTTCACACAACCTGTTGACGATGCAAAGCAGACATAAATATAGACCATGATTTTATTAAAGTAAAGTTTTGTTACATCATTTCCTGAATTAAAAATCAATAACCCTTTGGAAAATAGAGTTTTAATCAACCAGTCAGCTCAGTGATTGATTTAGGTTAGCTTCTGACCATCAATATGGTAACTTACCACGAGCTAACCTATGTTAAAGGCAGCTAGATTTGGACTAGCCTATTTGGGCCCCATATGAGTTTTGCTCATGGAAGGGTGGTGATCAGGCCCAGGAGAGGGTAAGCTACCGAAACCACCCCAACATAACACCGACTCATCCAGAACCCACATAAGGAGGCCTTGCTCCTCGACACGGAAGTCACAGGTTCGATTCCCGGCCTGATCTTCCTCCATCTCTTATGGCCCAATTTCCCTTTCTAACCACCCTCAACACAGGCGGCTTGAGCCAGTAAAAAAATTCAAAAATCTAAAACAGGTGGGGCCAGAGGTCATGATCCAACAGAAGTTAAAAGAGGCCGGACAAAAATGGCCACCATGGGATGAAACATCTTGATGATCATTAAGAATGTTGTGGAATAGTCAGAGGACTCAAAATGGAAGTATATATACATATACACACACACGTGTGTGTGTGTGTGTGCGTGTGTGTGTGCGTGCTCCTGTTGGCCCTGGCTGTCTGGCTGTGTGTGATTGATGTGTTGAGGCGGCGTTAACACTTCTCATGCTGCTCCTACATGGAAGGAGGAGGCGGAGGCGTAATGTACGTGAACGATTGATCACCTTGCCTCCGCCGCCTGATGACTTCTCCAAAGACGCTTCCCTGGGAATCGATAACCACCGCTCTCCGTTTCCCTCCGTCTCTCTCTCTCTCTCTCTCTCTCTGAACGTCACCAGGACAGACACAGAGAGCTCATTTATGAAGGAAAGGCACATTTGCATATGGAAAAATAATTAAAACAAACAAAGTGAAGCCGGGCCCCCCCGGAGAGGCGAGGAGAGGTGGGGGAGGAGGTGAGTAATGTGGGGATAGAAAGAGGTTTAATTGCTCCACACTGAGGTTGTGCCATTTATCTTCAGCTGTCGTTCCATTCGTCAGCGCGCCGCAGATGAGAGTTTATGTAGGTGTTCTCAGGATATCTGTTTCAAGGTAAGCACAGCGTCAGACTTTTAGAGGGCAGTCGGCGCAGAGCGATGACTCAGAGTTAACCTCATCCTTCCCTTTGGCTCCCTTTGTGACTCCAGTTTAGCAGCCTATAAAGAGCCGTTGCATAAAAGGGTTTTCAGAGAGATGTTCTGCTCTGTAGCCGCCCGTCTCTTTCAGCGCCAGTCATTATGCTAGGAGCTTCCGCTGCTTAGTTCCTCCTTTTATAAGGCGTGCGCGTGAGAACAAAGTGTGTGATTTGTTCATACTCGCGCTATGTGGGCGCCCATCTTTGTCTCATTTGAGCGTGCGCGGCGGTTCTGAGCGGGCTCCCCTCGCCGGCTCTGCGGGGTGCGAGTCGTCCGTGCGCCGAGGCCTGTCCGCTACGTTAGCACCGCAGCAGCTAAAACTCCATTTTCAGCGCGTCGTTTGAAGCCAGAGGATGAAAGAGTCGCTCTCCTCTCCCCTCGCTCTTCTTCTGCTCTGATGGACAACTCCATGGCCAGCCACTTGTTAATTAAAAGAACAGTTCTTTGTTTCTTTCCAGATGAAAGGCTGTTGACCTGATGGTGCTTAGGGTAGATGAGGACAATGAGGGTGTCACTAAAGTTATTTGGAGTTTTTAAAGGAGAGTGTGTCTACTTTAGACAGATGTTTTAGCCAAGAAGGTATTGTAGACAGAGTACACATCTTCAGACAGGGTTGAGCATTTTAATAATTTGGTAAAAAATCTTTCTTTAATGATTTCTTTTTATTCTAAGAGCTTTGGTAAAAGGCAGCTGGACTTTTCTTGAGAAGAGACCCCTAGAGTCTCTTTGTACCAATGCCTCTGCCCCCAAATTTGGGTCCTCCACAGGTGAAGGGGATTATTAAAGATGGTTCCCGTCTTTTGCCAAGGGCCTCTTCAGTTCTGACCAAGTGCTGGATGCAGGAGGTCTAAAGTCGGAGTCAGAACAATCACCAAACTGCCTTTTCCTCCAGCATCTAATCGTTGTATCTTGACTCGGCTTTACTTTGTCAAAAGGTTTGCCTTCAGTAATGGGGACATGGATCCAGACCCTTTTTCAGAACCTGCTTTGCTGATACTCCAAGCATGCAAAGTTGGGCTGAAAACGGTAAGTCAGAAGCTGTTGGTCTCTGATTGGCTAGGGGGGAGAGTCACTGGTCACGTGATTTCCTGACAGCAACTTCTCCATTTCCTAAACATTCAACAGCAACTGAGCATGTTTGGAGTTTTTAATGACATTGATATCCTCCAGGGCTGTCATGATTGTCAAAATCAAACAGGTCTCACAATTTCTATAAATAATTGCTTTCATCTGAAGCATGAACCATGATCTTAATAGGTTTTTACCTTTACCTGTTATCTTGTGGTTACCCTTTAAACCACAGGATAACATTATGTAAATAGTACTTTCTACATCACTACATTATAGGAGAGAGAAAAGCACTGCGGTAAGTTATAACACTGGACATTATAAACGGAGATGTTAGAAGTTCTTAATTGTTGCTAGCATAAGGATTTTCTCGTCCAGGTGGATGGCTAGCATTAGCATGCTGGTTCTGTAAACTCCACCGTCAGCAGAGATCCTAAACAGCACAAGATGTGTGTTTACTGAAAACATTTTGTCGCTGTTTCGTATCTGTACAACTCCTTTACCGTTTTTTCTTTGTAACTCCATAAATGCATTTGCCCCAGAAATACCTCCACAGCCTTTCCGCAGCGCTACCTCTAATGTTGCTAGTGATTTTTCAGCACTGCCTCTCTTGGCCTTTGCCAATAATATCAAACTCAAAGAGACAAATTATTAGAGTTACTAAAGTATGACAGCTTGCCATGTTGCTCCGGGTAGGAAAGATCAGCTCTTAGTTTGCCTTTTATGCTAAAGAACGAGTATTTCTTAAGCGTTTTCAAAACCGTTTTCCGTTCTAATTGAGCGAGAGCAGCCGAAACTGGAGGGAGAAATATACAACAAAAACACGCCTCAGGTATCATCCTTTAAAACAGTCTGAGGAACAACTAAGGGGGGCGGGGGGAATGCATGGCATTTTGTTACGCATCAGGTATAAATATATGCCGTCAAATTAAATGAAGCTGCTCTTCTGCATCTATGCTATAGATGCAGCCCTTAGTTTTTCAACTCGACAACAAAATAGCTGATTTAACCGGCGCTGGCGTTAAAGCTGCTCACCGAGAGTGAGCTTGCATGTTTTGCTCCCCTCCTCTTTCCAGATATTTGTAGTCTGCATTAGCATTCAGCCCAAGCAGCCTAGTTCACCCTCTGTAAGGAACTCAACATCATCCCAAGCTGGCTGTAGCTGCGGGCGAAAACAACAAGGCTTTAAAAACAGGCTGTCGAAGAAGAAACGCTCCCAGTCTATCAGAGCTCATTCTAATCGTGCGCTTCCTGTTTTTTTATTTATTTATTTATTTATTTTTGTTGCTCAGTGCGAGTGTGTGCGTAGAAGTCCCTGACGAGCTCTGCTGGGTGCTGCGAGTGTCTTCCCTTTTAAAGGATATCAGGCACCCGGGGATCCTCAGAAGCCGGCGTTGCCAGTTAATGCACCTCTGAGGAGAGCGGCTGCACTTAAGACAATCGCAGCGCGAGCGGGTGTGCTGGCGCGCACGTTGGCGTGCAGAAGACGAGGAAGAAAGAGTGGATGGGAAGGAGAGAGAGGCAGGGAGGGTGTTGGGACGTATAGGTAGAAGGAGGATGGTAAGTCTTAGCTTTATTCCCATCTGAAGCCAAAGCCTTTTTCTGTAGCTCTTACAGATCGAAAAGCTTCATTGTGAAGATTGTTTTGAATCATTCCAGCACACAAACCTGCTGTGGATATCACTTGTGAGTTAGAAATATTTGTAGTTTACATTTTAATCTTTAAATGTGTTGCTTTTGCCAAAAACTGGATAAAAATACAAATGATCACCTTCAGATGAAAGGACACTTGATATGATAGGTAAAGCAGTGGGCCACTAAGACTTAGGCCTACCCTTAGCCAGAAACTGATAGAAAACAAGTCGACTGAATTAACATGGACCAACTGGACTTCTACTGTTAGACTTCTTCACTTGGATTTCTACTTGGACAAGCTTTATGGTCACCTGAGACAAATACTGAACTCCTTGGTCGTAATACAGAGTGGTATGGTCTGAAACAGAAATCCAGACTGGATGGCTAAAGCAGGTCAACGTTGGGTTTCTGGAATTCCCTGACCTCAACCTTGTTGAACTTTTGTGAGCTACTCTTCAAAGGAATCTCCATGCTAGCAACCCAAACAAGTCCAATGAACTTTACCAACTCTAATTACGACTACGTTCAAAGACTCAAACAGAAATCGAACCACACGCTTACTGCAAACTTACTGCAGTTTGTGTCCTTGATCTGGATTGAAGACGTGGCCATCTTAAAGCTGCTGGAAAACCTCAATGTTTTATCAAAATCCTGTTTGTTTTTAGAACCACAATAGGTGGATTACTAGATACTAGGACGCAAGATCTTCTAATACTCCCAAAGAGGCATTAATTATAAATCTGAACAACAAATACATCTGATTCCTCGAAGCCTCAAACTATTGGAATGAATGTCCGTTCTTGCTGATCGAGATTCCGAGATGTTGCGCAAATCCATCACCATGTGCTTATAACCATGATGCATTTCATTTCGTGTTGTGTGCGATCTCTAAAATGCCATGCTTGGAGCTAACAACACATTTGAATCCATTAGAGATGTTCTCCTATAGCAGGTTTCTGAACCTGACCAATCAGTTTAAACACCTAAATCATATGGGAAGCTTAGGTTTTACTTGAAACCGATTACTGAAAGATCTGAAATGTGGTTAAAAATCAAAATGTGGATGAAAATGGATGAAAAATGAAGGTGTACCTCCAGGATTCTTCTAAAAATAAGAACAGTTGTTGTTTTACAGCAGTTCTAATCATGTCTGATAATGATTAGAACTGTAAAAAAGATCAAAATCATCTGAAGTCAGATGATTTTATACCAGGTTTAAAGGGATGTATTTTTTTATGAAGGTGACTGCTGTGATGTTAAAAAATAAACCTCAGATTAAATATTTATTTATTGTATAGAAAACAATCAACATTTCAACATATTTTTACTTAACTAAGAGTTTAAAAAGTATTTGGTAAAAAGTGCTGAGTACCTGATCAAATTATCAGTCTGTTAATATTTTAAAATTACATCAACGTACAGATCGAAATATAAAATTAAGTTGAAATTTTGGTATTTTAGGGACCAAAATGACAACAATTAATATAAGTAACAACAAATAAAATCAGTTTCTTTCAATAAAAAAACTTCTCACATTTTAACAAAAACTGCAGGTGTGTCTGTTTGCTGAATTTTTGGTTTAAAATATGTTTGTTTTTCATTCAGTGCGTAGAAAATTCAGAAATTTAACTCAAGTAAAATAAAAAGTACTTTTTTTTTTCCAAAAGAAGTTACTCAAGTAAATGTTATTGAGTAAATGTAACTACTACCCAATTCAGCCCCGCTCCACAGCAGATCTTTGACACCAGTCCTTTCCACTGATTTCGGGGTTTTTTTTGTCATTATTTGGTAAAAAATTAATACATTATAAAGTTCTAGCAGCTTTTGCAGGGAGTGGCAGCCTGGCCCGTCGCTGCTGTAAGCAAGCTGCAGGTTTGACTCTGACCTCTGCGTGCACTGAGCTAACAGCCGACATGTGCTGCTGCTGCTGCTGCTGCTGGATGTGAGACTCAGCAGGGGAGGAAGAATTCCTCCTCGTCCTCTCCCCTCCGTTACCCCCGGCCCCCCGCTCCAGTCCTGCTCTCCGCTGGAGTCGGCGGTCCATCTCGTGCTGCAGATTGCCTGTGACAGCCACACTATTTCAAGTCGGCGGGTTGAGCTAAATTGGAGTGAGCAATACCACCTGTGCCTGCTGGAGGGCCGCTCTGGTTGGAGTTGTTGCTCGGGTGAGAGAAACCTTGAAGAGAGAGAGAGAGATGGGGGGGGGGCGCAGAAAGCTGCTACCTGCATCAAAGCCTTGGTTTCACATGCAATCTGGCCAGCTGGCTCCCCCTGTGAGGAGGGGGATCTCTCTCTCTCTCTCTGCTTCTCTCTGTTTCTGCAGGTGCACATCTTCTTCTCCTTATCCCCAGTTTTAACTTTTCCTTCTCTCTCTTCGTTTGCTCCTTGTGGGTTTTCTGTCCGAGTCAGATGGAAGCTGACAGAACTGCAAGCGAAAGCTTAGTTAGGATCAGATCTCTGAAAGCTGCCACACACCCCACGTTGAGTCCGGGTCTGCTCAGTTTACACCTGAACTCATCCCCTCACCCCCAAAAAACAGCCTTAAACTTTATCTGCTACAACACAGCTCAGGCTCACAGAAAAGTACGTACTCTCTTACAGAAGTCATCTGTTTTATTCATTGGCGATTGTTAGCTTCGGTTAATTAGCATCGCCTCCTTGTTCACCAAATGTTTCATGGCACCAACATTTATAGATATGTTTGAAATAAGAAGTTTTCCTAAACGTACCAAACAGATTAAAATACAGGTCATTGCAGTGACAAGTTGACATGATGAGTAAGGCAGAGATTAAATATCCTGAGAGAGTTTTTATTTTCATAATGCTGAATATTCTTTTGGTATATTTGTTTTGCTGTGTTCATTTGTCAGCCTTCCGAAGCTGAACCGAATCTTTGTTGTGTGGTAAAATGGGGCAGATTAGGTAAATAATCAAATAGAAAATAAAACCTATGCAAAGTTGACGGGTTTTTTTAAATAATGTTAGGCAGTTTGTTGAACTCTTTGAAATTAGCATTAGCTTTAGCATTAGGTATAAAACTGCAGATTCCACAGTGAAAATCAACTCTAATCTAAGCCCTATGACTCAGGATGCGCTAAATGCGCTAACTTTAATCCAATCTGAATCGCTTCATTTACTTTTTTCACTTTTTATTTTTAGAAGGAAAACTTGCAGGCAAACATGTTTTGGTCCTGATATTCTAAAATCTAATGTTGACCGTTCATCCTGACGCATCAGAAGTGAGCAGTCTGAATGTTACCAACACGTTTCTTTGCTCCTTCAAGTCGTCCAGACAGGCTGATGGGAGCAAACAGGGAGGAGGGGAGGGCTGCTGTCTCCTCCCCCGTCCTCCCCCTCCACCCTCCCACCCCCAGGCAGGATACAGTAGGCGTCATTTAGTGGGGGGTGGGGGGAGCGAACAGTGTGGGGTTATCCACGAGGTCGCCACGCTCGCCGCACGGCCGAGCTCATTTCCACCGACAGAGAGAGAGGCAGCCGCTGAAACGCCTCATTCACTTTCTGATCACACACACACACACACACACACACCCCTCTCTCTCTTCTTCACACACACATGCTGCAGCCTGTATTCATTGTGCTGCTATTTTCCTCATCCTTCACTTTCCCCTCTGTGCTGAAACATTTCCTTCCCGGCTCTGATGGTTCACTTTGCGCCGTTGACGCTCTCCACTCCTCCTCACACCTTTTGTTTTTCTAACTATCACTGCATCGGCACGCTCCGATTAAACCAGATTGACTTGCGCAGACAAAACTCCCGCCCCCCACCCCCGCTCACTCCGAGTGTCTAAGTGTTTCACAGTCTTGCTAATCCCTCTTTCTAGCTAATCTGATAAGCACAGCTAATGATATTTCTCTGAATGCCTTCAGATGACGGCAGTCATAAAGCAGCAGCTCGTTCTGAAAAGCTAGCAGTGTTTCCCCAGCGGCCTTCCAGCATCCAACCAGTCCACTTCTGTCGACTTGAGTCTCTGCCAAGTCTGGCTGTGAAGACGCCTCGGCGGAAAAACGGTCAGATGCCCGAGGAAGGCAACGAGCCGCCAATGACGCCGCTTCCTGTGCGGCGGCGGCTGCTGCTAGCTTACATGCTTAGGTTTGCGTTCAAGGAAATATGGCGTCAATAAATTCTGCTCTACTGTCAACGGTTCTGTTAAAGTTGCTGCAGTCAATGTTCACCGTCGAATGTTTCGGCTTTGTGGAATTATACCTCATAAATCTGGTCTTATTACATTCATGTTGGAGTTATTGGTTCAGAGCAAAGAGTTGTGGAACTTCAACAACCAACAACTGTCCAATGAAAACCAAAAACACAAACTGAAGCTGTCTGTCTGATTGGATGAAAGCATCTGGATTTTCTGGATTTAAAAACTGATTATTTTTTTAATGAGTCAAATTTATTTACATAGAACATTTAGGAACAACTGTCCAACACAAAAACAATGGGAAGATCATTGCTGTTGGTTTCCCGTCCTGACATTGTGCTGCCACTTCTGGATGTCTGGTTCAACTGATGCTCTTTCAAATTTCTGTATTTAATCTGTATTTCTTTGCTCGGTTGTTTCCAAGGCAACAAATTGCTGCCTGTGGATCGATAGCGCCACATGCCGCGGCTCTCTTCTCGTCCCGGCCAGGCAGGAAGGAGGCGGCGGTGGGCCGGCGGGGTCGATGACCGGGTCCCGCTCCGCTGACGGTGGTTCGTTAAAGAGCGTGGTGTTAACGGTGTCAGGACCGATCCTCCGGGCCGGCCTTGCTCTCCTAACGAGCAGCCCGATCGATGGCTGTCTGGCAGATCAGGAGGAAGCTTCATCTTAACTGGCGGTCACTTCCTGCTCTGCTCTGGGTTACATCTGCTTCCACACACTGATCACTGTCCAGTTGGAAAAGAAAGTACACCTTGCTGTATTTTAACAGTTCAACAAGAGGGGAAAACAATCGCATCGAGTGTATGAAAACTGGCAGCACGCTACAGTTTATTGTTATTTAATAGATAACAATAAAAAGGGAGAAAAAGTAGGTACACCCCATGGACGCCCCACCCTTAATTCATCACAGGGAGGATTTTTGTTCTCTCTTCTTCATCATGTTGCTTCATTCATGTTGATCTCTTTTCTCCATGGAGACGCTTCCTCTTGCTCTTGCTCTTCCTCTTTGTGTACACCCAGAGGTCATTGCTGATGTCTTTCCTATCTGGTGTTGTGCTCACAGGAACTTGTTTCAGCAGCAAACAACTATTTCCCTGTGACATCCAATGAAAACAGAAAGAGTGTACTGAGGTTTTTTTCCACACACCTTTTTCCATCGTTTTTTTTTTTATTTAATTTTTTTACTTTTTGTTGATAGAAACTTGACTGTGCCACTGTGTGAAACGTGCGTTGTTGTTTTTTTGTTTTTTTTTTTACTTTTTGCTGCTGTGACAAATTCACCCCAATCTGTGCCGGCGAACTGCTGCTTTTCTTCCCTCGTTCCTCTTTCAGTGGGGGCGGTGGCGGGGTGCAGATATTTTTAAATCCGCGGCTCTGTGGGGTTTCTCTCTCTGTGTTCCTGCCGCCGCCGCGCTGCTCCTGTCAACTCGCTGGCATTCGTATTTGCAAACACACCTAAAAACATATTTACAGGAAGTGCCTGACAGTAAGGGAGAAGCTGGATCGCGGCTCTGCTGTCTTAAGGAGCCCGATGTTTGGCTGTTGGTTCGCTGTCTGTCCATCTGTCCTCAAAGAGACGCTTGTCCTAACCTCAAGGGTCATTGAGGACACAGAGGAGAAGAAGAAGAAGAATAGACCCAAGTGAGGCGCTTCAGGGTGCGCTCGTTTTCAACACAAACAGACACAGAGCTCGGCTTCTGCTGACTTGTTTTTTATTGCACACTTGCGAAAAACACAATACAGATTTTTCACGGCGAAGACAACGTAAAGAGACGTCATGCTCACCGTCTTGAGAAAATCAACATTTCGCAGATGATCCGTGCTTTAAAGCAGCCGAATTTGCTCCAGATTTAGAGATTTGTGCTCGGCGCTGGAGTGTGACTGCAGCTAATGCGTCGAATTAAACCCAGGAGTTCGCTTCCGAGGTCGTCCCTTTTGTTCGCTCCGCACGCAGGCCCCTGTCAGATCTGCAGAGACAGAGCAAAAAAAAAAAAAAACAAAAAAAGCAAAGAGAGAATACTATTTACCAGTGCGACAGATTCCAAAAAGCCACTAAAACATGATTCCTATCTCGTCATTGTTGAGCGACGGAAACCTTGAACGGCGTTTTGTGTCGGATTAAACGCGAGGAACGGCGTGCGCGATGAGTTTCCGGTTACGTAAAGCGATAAGACGCACCTCGGATCTGCCGGAGCGAGATGCTTCCAGTGGAAGAGACGTGACAATGTGACATCACGCCGATGGGGGGAAATAAGCGGGACCAGAGATACGTTTAAGAAGAGCAAAAATCTACAGCTTCCATCCCTGAGCTCGGCTGACAAAACTGTCTTTAGGTGGCGCGGATTATGGATTAATCTATAATAACTGGGGAAGGAGCAGAGAAAAGGAAGTGAAGGAGCCCCTCCGAGTCCACCGCCTCATCAGCTAATGTTCCCACTAATATTCCCAAATTATATCATTTAGACCTGTATCAGTGCTGCAGAATTAATCATCATTTCCCTGACACTACCCACCCCTCCAACTCAACCCCCCGGTTCATTAGATCTACTGTTTCTGCCGCTCTCATTTCTACAAAGTTGGAGTTCTCTTGGTTCAGCCAGTCTACTTCTTCTAATAATCTGTTTATCCACCTTATTCTCATTCCTTTTCTTCTGAGCTGGCTTCATAACAGCTACTGAAAGTCTTCCTGAAGCGTGAGGCTACAGACTGACGTCCTCTTCCTCATCGTCATGATTACGTACCGTTTCGCGTCGCCTTATTACCATCCAGTTTGTGTTTCTAACCCGACAAAATGATGAACACGAAGGAGTCTACCTGCTTAACGTGGATGTGTTGATCTGAAAGGAAAACGAGAAAGCCAAAGTTTACGACCTGGTGACAGAATGTGCAATTTTGAGACAGTTGTGCCAACAAAAAAGACAGCTTAAGAATATCACATTTTCATTGGGAGAGACCACAATCAGTGGCTTGTTAAATGAGAATTCCTTCTCTAAAACCTTTGAATATGTTCAAATATGAAGTTAGATTTTTTTTAAAAACAGATCAAATAAGTATCAGAAATTTAAAAAAAAAACCACAATATCACCACAGAACAACTTTATACCTTCGTCTAATTAAAATCTAGAGATGCCTCATTTTCAGTCTTTTGTGAGATTCCAACTGTAATTCACTAACCTCAGAAATTTTCATATGGTACGTATGGTACGTAGTGCACCTGTATCTACAGAGTGCAACTAGCCATACAGACTAAAACTAACTCGACACCCTAGATTGCTTAAAATCAACCATTTTTCACTGCAACCAAATTAAGTCTAGCATGTGGAAAAATTGGCATTCTAACGCTAACATATCAAGAACTTCAGACATTTATAAGTGGCTAACCAATGTTTTAACACTGGATTTGTAAGAAAAAAAGAAAAAAAACACCAATATGCTTTTTTGGCATAATAAAGGTTATTCAAACATCTAGTAATTGGAGAAGTAGCTTTTTTAAAATTGGTGCTATTATCAAAGGAGTGATAAAATCAGGCTTGTATTGCACATACTCGATTTGTATGTTAGGAAATTAGCATTCTCATGCTATTATTACCATATTCAAGCTAACGTCTAAAGAATCCATAAGTTATTGTGATTTTACAATAAAAGTTCAAAGAAAAAACCTCTGGTCATACAGAACACAGCATGACGGTTCATTGTCGACCTTGCCTGTTTGGGAAGTCATTATGCTAACACTCGTATTGACATGCTAGAGCTAACATCTACTGATAGTTACAGGAGGAAGTTGAATTACTGTGATTGCCAGTTTCTCAGATTGTCTGAGAGCATTGAAGAGAGCTCAATCTGACTTATCTATAACTCTAAAAACACTGTATGATATGAGATATTTCAGTTATTTATGGGTGATATTTCCCTTTTTTTTTTCATCTGAGCAGCGTTCACTCCATGCTGCTATGAGTGAGTACAAAACAATGAAAAAAGTTAATTAGATTTGATGGAGGTTACATGTTTTCAACAAAAAACAATCCAAATTTGAGATCTGATGTATTATAACCCATTTGGCTGCAGACTGAACCGCCGTGTTCGTTACTCAGGTGATGTCATTTGCCTGGCAGTGCTGCTGTGAAATGATCAGCCTCCGCTGTGAGCAGCCGACCGGCCGCAGGGTGCACATAGGTGAGACCAACTGAGGTGGCGACGCAGAACGTGACATAATGAAGCGCAGCTATGAAATTCCATCTGCGTGGCCCTACGGTTTACAGCCTGCCTCTTGGGTCTCTACCTGCTCAGATTTACTGGCTGTTCCTGCCTCCTGGATCCAGCCTCGGTTTGTTTACGATGAAGGTTGGCAGTAAAGCTGGATGACTGGCCTGCGTGGGCCACTTTGTATCTTTGAGCAGATCAAGAAAAGGGCTCAACTGGAATAGATGATGCTGGCCTCTCAGTGTGTTTTAATATCCTGCTCCTGACAGTGCCCCCCTCGCCCCTCCCGGGTCCTACCCTGTCTGTGAGCTCTGGATGGAGGTGGAGTGGTATCGGTGAGGAGGTGCACCCCTGCCCCCCACCCGTTCTCGCTCTGCCGCTTCAACAATAGCATTTGCATATTTTTATACTCCGTCTTTCCTCTTGCCTCTCTCTCAAAGAAAAACAGCCCGAAGCGTGAATACTCCAGCAGAAGCAGCAGGCGTGCGTAGGGAAAAACGGAAGCTGGGGAGACGGCGTGTCCGCTTTGCTTGGGGAAGGACACAAACGCACACACATTCAGGCTAATATACACACTGGGCCCTTACCCCCACAGGTTCTGCACCGAGGACAAGGAGGAACCAAAGTTTGATGCTTGTGAGGGTCTCCTGAAAGAGGAACAAAGGGAAGGGTCCAAATTACAATCAGGCCATTGACATTGTTGCCACATTTTCCATGTGCCAGGTCTAGACCGCTTTGCTAATATTCACTACCATTTGCAATGCATTTCATGCTTCATCTGAAAACAACCGAATTCACAATAAAATGTAGCGCTGCATTAGCAGTAGTCCTTTTTGTGTAGAGTTTTTACAGTTGGACTTAAAAAATCTTACCGCATAATTCACCAAAATCATTTTGCTTTTGAGTTTAGTTAATCAGTTTTTCCATCTATTCATATTGTTTTTGTTCTTGGTATGTTGCTACGAAAGAAAATTTAAAAACAGCCACTTGATATTCAATAACATAACTTCATAAAGCCCCAACAGTCTATCAGCTAACCGTCACAAACCAATTTACTGACAATGACAACTTTTTTAGCTCCTGCACAAATGTTTCCAATTAAGAAATACTGTTATGCTTCAATTTTGACCTACAGGCAGGACCTTGGTTTTAGCATTTTAATTCAAGCTAATTTCATACGCCACAGATGCTAATCTTACAATCATATGATCAGCATACAAATTATCTAACCATAGCATTACCATTCTAATGTTACAACTGTAAGATTTCTTATGCTAACTTAGCATGGTGTTAGCATGCTAATTATTCAACCATAGAATTTGCTTGCTAATTTTTCAGTCATAGTTGTAGCATGCTAGTTTACCCAGATGTTGGCATGCTAATTATCCAAACAGTTATAGCATGGCAATTTTTCAACAATGCAATTAGCGTCCTAATCTTTCAACCGTAGCATCTGATGCTTTTTGTAAATATTTAGGACTTGGCTTCCATTTTGAGACATTTTTTCTGAACATTTGTGACTTAAAATATCTGGCATCCTAATCGGAGACATGGCTGATAAAGAAAGTGTCTGGAGATTTTTAAGAAAACCTGCTGCCTTTTGGGTCGATTGTCACGTCAATCAACACATAGAACGTGTAACACAAAGCGTAGTTAATTGTATTCAACTAGAAAACACACATTTAATCCCCAGTTTGTCTCAGGTGTGGCACAAGCTCCTGTTGCCGCATTTTCGATGAAAACCTCAGAGACGAGTGAGAACCAGCGAATAAAAGGAGCAGCATTACGTAACTGCATCATTCAGAGATGCTGACAATGCACCCAGACATGTTAGTCATTGCAAGGAAAGGGGGGCTGGGATAGTGGGGGGGGGAATTGTTTGTGGACTAATCCAGAAAGGCTTCAGACAAACAGCCGTGCAAAGTGTGGAGGAAGGCATTTCAAAGCAGCCATAACCGCAGAGAATGTTCCGCTAAGCTCACACCTCCGCCATGAAGGTTACACTCTGAGGATAACTAGATGCACAGCAGAGCTGCATGTAATTTCATTTTACATGACACCCCACATTATATAAAGTTCAGGCAGACAAAGGAGGCGTCCCTGCGGAGGACCTTGACTCGGCTCTTCGGGCTTCAGTTTGAGGCGTTGCGAAAGCAGCATGTGTCACCAGATGTAGTGATGAAGAGTTGCTTTTTTGTCCCAAACCGACGGCGCCGAACGCACTACAGCCGACACCACCTTTCCACACAGTGCGAATGATGTGAGGAGGATCTATGTCGGGATGGCAAACCTGGGTCCAGAGGGATTCTCAGACATCTTCAGAGCACATGTTTGCTGAAAGTGCAGAGGGATATTTGACTTGACAGAGCATGCTGAGGCAATTCTCCAACAACAAAGTTCTATTGTGCTCAACTCTGAGCTCCATTGTTTAATTCCCTTCTAACTGACGCTCGACTGTAGAAACTAAAGATCCCTTTTATATAAAAAACAGGCTAAAAGATCCAGAAAAACTCTAGAATCACCAACCAGCTCAGCACTGCAGGGCCACAATTAGCGGTCCGAGCTAACAGCGGTTAGTGAGTGACCTCCCATGGGTCGATGTTAGGCCCGCCTGCTGTCCCTAAAGTAGGACCAAATTCTTACGTTTCATTAAAATTAGAGAGGACATTCATTTGAAAGAAACTTTCAAACTTTGGGGAAATATTTTAGAAATTCGGGAATACATGAATTGCCTCTCCTAACAACCTTGAAGGTGAAAGATAAATATGATGCACCCTGAAAGAAGCCAGTTTTATTTCTGGAGATTAATTGCAGAAATACCTTCATTTTGACACATGAAGGTGTCAAAATGTGATTTGTTTCAAACACAGAGAGTGAAATCTGAAGCTGCATTTGATAAATTTAGTCAATAATTGATTTTGTTTGCCAGATTGATTTTGCGGTCAGGCGAGGCAGGCGAGTAATCCTGGTAGGTAAAAATAAAGCCATGCGAAATAAAATAGACTCTAACAACGATGAAGGAAAATCACTTTGCCACTTGGATTTTCTATAAATTGTTTTTTCTTATCGGTAATGTCAACATTTTATGGTCAAAATCTAAGAATTTACCCATCGCCTGTTGAAATACATGAAAGAAGACCCAGGCGAGGCAGTGCAGTACCGTGCCTCACTGATAGGAGGCAGTGCTGATACCCATAGACACAATGAGCAACAGGTACTCTTCTACGGAATGAGAAGATTGTCGAGGGAAAATACGGATGGAGCAGAATTGCTCAAATAGACAACAAATAGAAAACTCTTTTGTTTAGTTTTTTATGAATTAAATAAAAAAAACTATCAATTCTGTTCCTAAATGCAAAATGTTGCCTACATTTATTTTCATGTAAACGTAAATACGAGACTAAACAATTATGCAACAATGTCAGTAGTTTTTAAAAACTTACTTGTGACATAAATTTTCTATATTGTTGCCTAAAATCTAGAAATCTAACCTTGTTAACCTGAAATGATCACTTATTTCTAAGCAAAACTGCTAAATTAAAAGATTGTTTTTTGCTTAAGGTAAATATTTGTTATTTTTATGAACCCTAAGCAAATCGTACATGAACATAGACAATTTTATTTTGGCCAAACCCAACCGTGTTTCAGTTTTTGCTACGTCAAAATATGCTACTAATCATAAATATTATCACTATTTTCCTAAACTTGGAGTTTTCGTTATGGTATTTATGATTTCTTCCATAAATGTTGGTGAAATATGTTGTCAATATCTGTCTACGTCAACATTGTGATTATTTCTTGATGCCTTCATAGAAGGAATCTGCAGATTTCTGTCCCAGTTGATGCTGATTTAGCCTAACTGTTTAAAGTGGAACAGAAGTCTGATGTTTTCCAGCCTGTAGCCTTTAGACGTTTGCTAATTATTACTCATCCTGGGTGACCTTAAACCCAAACAGAGACATGTTGCATTGTGGGAAAGTGAAACTTGCCGCCTGAACACGGCTCTAGCTCCATGTCGATCTGTGGAAATGAGAGAAGGATGCTGCGCGTAATCAGCTGTTTACAGCCGCCGCAGCAGCCCCGGCCTAATAGCTCCAACATGGCCGACACGGGCTCAATTACATCACCTAAATGAATGCCCTCTGTTCCAGATCACCCAGCTGCATGTTTCCAGTTTACCCAGTCTGGGGTGTGAGAGGATGAGGAAGAGGAGGAGGAGGTGGAGGTGGGAGCAGCATCCAGAGGAAGACACATGTAAACCCATTTCCAAACAAACGGGCCAGTGTGCACGGCGCCGCCCGGCGTAATGCCTGAATGAATCAACGCGAGCGACCGCACAACAGGACATGGCGGCCATTTAACACTGGTGGGCCGATGGTGATTATACTGTACACATGCAGAAATGAAACCAGTTAACCAGTTGATGTTGAGGCTCACACATGTTTACACTCCAGAAAGTTCTCCATTTTTATTTAAAGGCCTTTGTGCAGTCAGAACTGACCTGCAGCCATATTGTGGGAGTAGATTTAGTGATGTGAGGGGGAGGGTTAGCCAAAATTAGATCCTAAATCATACAAATGTATAATTAATAATGATGAATTATGAATGTAAGAATGTGGATTTGATCTGTTAACTAATATATAAACAACAACTATGCATGAATATGCATTAAAACACAGTGGACAGCATCTTAGCACTGCCATAGAAGCTAACATCTACCATCTTCCTTATCTCCACTTTTTAGGTGTTCAGCCAATCAACACCAAGGAAAATAAACGGCACTCCGTGATTGGCTCCTCCGCAAACCAGCCAATAGAAAGTCAGCTAGCATTGAGCTCAAGTATTTCAGCCACATTTTCTTTAACCATATTTGATATGCTGTATGAAAAATATAAATGTGACAAATAATGCAAATTTTCTGTCAATAGTCTAAAGTCGAGTTCCAAAGAAAATCCACCAATAGCTTCCATTTGAATCACAGCTACACGCAGCTTTAAATGATGTTGTTCATGTCATGTAGCTCATGTTCATGTTTAATTTAATTTTTAATTTTACAAAATGAGTGTGTGTAAGACGGGAGCTGCAGCTGAAATTCACCTGCTCATCTAAAATGTTGCTTTTGCAATTTCACTTTTCTTCCTCACGCTTAAAATCCAGCTTTTACTTTGAAAAGCTGCAGCTCAGATTACAGCACTGGATGCTAAAGCTTCCAGCGCAGACAGGAACCATAAAGACCCGCAGATGACATTTCCTCCCGTCTCCCTCATGAATATCAAAGCCAGGCCAGAAAAACAAGGCAGGGCATTACAGCCCTATTATTGTATTTGCATTCCTCATAACAGGCGGCGTATTGGTTGCTGTATTTATTGCCTCATCAGCGCGGCGTAGCTGCTAGCAGCGGCTGATTTATTAGCCCAACGTCACATGGAGCAAGTTGGCGAATGGAGCGGAGGAAGGTTTTCCTGCTGGTGGACTTTCCTGGGGATTGGCTTCTCTCCTGGCCCGGAGCCAGGTCAAGACTTCTACCTGCACAGCTCTACGTCCGGCTCAATGTTTCCGTTTTTGTTTTGGAGAGTTTCTTGGAACTGCAGCCGAGGTTCTCCGCTCGTCTCTTTTTTCCAATCTTTCTGGGATTTGGGGTGATTTGCGCCGCGCTCCCCAAGGGAAATAAATACTTTGATTAATGTAATCCTGGGGAGGCTGATGTCCCTCCCCTCCCCCACCTGTTCCTCAGGGACTGCTCAGCAAAACAAAAACAAGAAGAAGAAAAAGAAATGAGCAGAGAGCGACAACTGGACGAGTGCAGACTGGATTTGTTTCGTTTATTAATTAGTGCGCCTTTAATGCTCAGCATCAGTCTTGATTAGCATGTAGCACTAATGTAGCGCAGGACAGTCTGCATAAACTCACGCTCGTGACTCCTGGAAGTGGGGACATTACGCTGGGTGACACTGCTGGGGATACATATGCAAAGCTGAAACAACTTTCCAGTGCTCAAATAATTCCTTGAGAACAAGAATTTGATGTGCAAGTTTAAATTTATTACATAGTTTCTATTGTTGAACCAGATGGCAAAAATAGTGGCAGCATGATCCTGTGGGATACGTGTAGCATGAAGGAGAAGAGAGGCAGGAGTTTGGTTCTCGAAAAATAACTGAAAGCAAAAGTTAAATTTATTGCACTTTTCATGCAAGGAAGACCAACCGTCAAACAAAGTGGCAGCATCATGCTGTGCTAGTCGGACCGGGTCATCTGGAATATGAATGATCAGCCCCATCACCAGAACCTAAACAACCTTATTTACCATATTTTTTTCCTGTTTTTTTTTTTTTCTTTTTCCTTTTCCTCCCAGCTAGTTTAGAACAAATTCAAACTTTCTATTTGGGTACATGAGTATATTTATGTCACTCACTTCTAATTATTTATTCAATTTTAAAAAAGGTCATTTTTATATAATAATAAGTCATAACTGGTGTCATTTTAAGGCACCTTTGTATCTCCTTCTGTTTCTTCAAAAATGTTTTCTATCATTTAAAAAGTCTTAATATTATGATTGACACAAATATTTTGTAATATTTCATATTAAAAATAAATCCGGCTTTATTTTTAGTGATTTTGCTCAACACGGTTCCTTTTTTCAAAAATTGGGCCCCTGCCGCTTGAAAGTCTTCTGTACGGCCCTGCTGGTCCACAATAAATTAGCACTATCTCCGCGTGCTTAAACTTTACGTAAAAGTCCAACTGACATCCACTTAGAATGACACCAGCAGCTTGTTGAGTGCAAACAGGGGCGCAAATATCGAAAATCTGCGCAATAATTCTGATGAGAGAGTCCAGTTAAACTCTTAACATCTCATCTTCACCTGCACATCTCGAGCATCTCCGCGCTTCAGCTTCACAGAGCGGTTAGTGTGTGTGTGTGTGTGTGTGTGTGTGTGTGTGTGTGTGTGTGTGTGTGTGTGTGTGTGTGTGTGTGTGTGTGTGAGAGACTCCATGAAGCATATTAATAATAAAAAAGCCTGTCTGAATGAGAGGAAAATCCCCATTCATGTCTGACACTGAAGGCCTGCTTGAAGCCCATTTAATTAACGGTATATATTACCGTCTAAGTGCTGCGAAGTTCGGCTCTAAATCAGCGTTTGGGCCTGACACGCTCAACGTATGTCGGATTACAGCGAGCCGGACCGAGCGTGATGTGGGGTTGGGGGGTTGCAAATAAATTATGTAGCCCACAGGCAACTTTAAGTGTGCCATAATTAAAAAGCGGCGGGAATTGCATCAATTTAATGCGAATATGCGGCGGGCAAGCCACAGAAGTGTCTGAAATTTACGGCCGAAAATCAGTTTTTATGGAGAGGAGAGAGACAATAGATTAATGCGCGCTAATTGATTTCCCTCCTTAATTCGCTGGAGCTGACGTGCAACAAGCCTACATTAAAAAAATAAATAAATAATTGTTTTTTAAAAAATTATAATTTTATTAATTATTGGCGCCTTGCAGGAGATGCATCTCTCTCTCTCTCTCTCTCTCTCTCTCTCTCTCTCTCTCTCCCTATTTCTCTCTCTCTCTCCTCCCGCAGGAGTAACCCGCAAACTCCCGCGATGCTTCGGGAATTCCTACCGCTCTCGGTTGCGAGCAATTCCCCCGCATAAAAAACGTCGCGGCTCCGTTTGCGCCAAACAGCCATGATGCACATGGAGGCCGGACCTGAGGAGCCTGACTGGCGGCTCTGGTGCGCAGGCGCAGGGGGGGCGGGGAGGGGGGGCTAAAGCCATCATATGACAATTTCTCTCCCTGTCTGAGGATAAAATGTAAATAATCTGACATCTGAATTAGAATTTGGCTCATCATATTTATTAGCTTGTGCGTCATCAGCTAAAGTTTGCGCCACTCAATAGTTTTAATGTTAAGCAAGAGGGTTTATTACAAACATGAGTGCATTTAAATGGGGTAGAAACGGACTCATTTGTGTTTCGATTGTATCATTTCAGTATTTAAAATGATAAACAAGGCGGATAATCTGACACAAAATGTTTTTCTTTTTTCTTTTTTTTGCGCCAACCTGCAGGATAAACGGGTGACGTTCGCATCATGAGTGAGCGCGACACCTGGCGGATTTAATGACCAAATCATACACACACTCTTACCAAAAAAAACAACAACAAAATAAACAAATAAACCAAACTGTCAGGAAGTAAATAATAATAATAAAAAGAGCGACTCAACAGAGACAGAACATAAAGTGGTGGCAGCAGGGGCGTGCACAGGAATAAACGGAGCAGCACATTTAGAAAGAAAACTACGATTAGTAATTTCACGTTTGGGCCGCTTTTAGACGAAAAGTGGCTTTCTTCCTTCAGTTTGTGCATAAAGTTCTCCGA